ACAGAAAAGGATAACCAGAGAGGGTAAAATGAGAAAGAGGACAATTGGTAAATCAGCGAGAGGGAGCGAGAGAGGAAATATTTCGTTGTGTCAGCTTGTTTCACATGTAAAATGTAAATTTTCTTTCCATCATCACAGCTTCGGATTGCAAATTAAATCATAGCATCCTCATGATAAACCCACGCTGACGGGATTGGGACGTTTTTATGGTCGTCGTTGGGAGCTCGCCACTAATGACAACATAGTCACATAGGCGGCGGAACGGGGAGGGCACCGGGGCACCGTCTCCCCCTTTGATTTTGGCATTTTAACATTAGCCCTATGGGCGTTGCATGGAAAGAATGGGACCAAAAGTCGGCAGTGCTCCCCCCCTTAATTGAAGGTGTTCCACCGCATACTGAATGGGGATGATGTTGAGGGTTTAGCAAATTCATAAAAGAGATGCTTTTTTTGCACAACCTATTAAACATTTTTTTACGTTTGCTATGAAAATGTTAGGCCCAGTTCCTTCAAGATCAGGTCCACGACTCCACAGCTTACAACAGGAGCTAGCTAACATAACAATTAACCCGCGCCGTGTTGGTGGCATGAACTTTCCGTTGAGTGCCTGGGGGGGGGGGCGTTTCACGCCCCTCCGTCTAACTCGGCTCCTGGACCACGTAGCGACACGCGGTATGCGGCAATCGAAAGAGCGTTAAAAATAAGGAGGAAAACACTTCGGTCACCTATCCGTGCTTCTATCCTCAGGATACTGAAGTCCTTCTCCTCCGAGCCGCAACCCTCCTCCGGGCTGGACAGGCAACTTTATCTCATGCGGGCTGCTCCCTTGGAGCGGCACCGCTGCTCCTGAGGGAGCGCACCCCGTAGCCGGGTGCAGTGAGTGCCTTGGGGCTGGGTGGCCTGTCCTCTGGACGGGCTCAGCCCCGGCGACTCTCTAGGATGCCTGCCCAGACCAATGTCTCCCCCTAATTCCTATCATCCTTCCGGCTCTGCAATGGTCTTGTCGACCGAAAGGGCCTAACCCAACAAAACAAACAAACAAACAAACACTTCGGTCATTTTAAGGTCAGGGCAAAGGTCAGGTCACCAGGGTTCAGCAAAGGTCAAATTTTGTTGATTACAACGATTTTGAACACCCGGCGTCTAACTCGGGAACCAATAGAGCTACAGCGCCGCGGAAAAGCGCATTCGATAGCTCTTTTAACGCTCTTTAGCCAAAATGTCCTCAAATTTGGCCTCAGATCAACGGTTTAGCCCCTAGAGGGCACCGTTCTGATTGACCTCAGATTTGACCTCAGATCAACGGTGTTTTCACCGCTCTAGCACGTCTCTGTCAAAAGTAAAAAACTGCTGAAGACCTTTTATGTCCTAAAATGACCTCAGGAGCACACACAGGGGTCCCAGGTGCAATTTTCCGATTCAGTGTGTCATGTTTACCTATGGACCGATGTTTGAGAGAGTGTAGAACGAAAGTCCAAAAGAGGTGCATTTCAATTTTCTCCCATTGACTTACCTATACCTAATGGAGCAGTCGCAAAATTGACCTGACCTTAGGTCACATACATAAAAAAATCCGAGATATCCATTTTATGCATACTGTTAGCCTGTTACCCTAAGCAATTACTGACAGTTTCAAAGTGATCACTCTGTCGGTGTAGCTCCAGCGAGCTGTCGAACTTTTTCTGAGGTAAGGTCACTTGACGTTACCTAGTGACCTGACCTTGAATGACCGGGGTCTGAAATTTTCATAACAAGTGCGAAAAAGATGTCAGAACAGGTGTATGTAAAACAGCGGCGCTACGCGTCGCCATTTTTGAGATACCTATTCGCGAAAAACCTGAGGAGGGGGCGTAAAAACGCCCCCCTCTCCCCAGCGCGGCGCGGGTGGTCGACATAACATTAGCGACTCGGACTGAACAAATGCCTTTAACATTTCAACGGTTGAATGAAGGTGAGAGGATTGAGGAAGGCTTGTATCGGATTTTTCTTCTGTTTGTCGGTAGTTTAGGTTGAAGTCAATTTCGCGAGCTGTCCATAAAATCATTCAAGAGTGAAAATTCAGCTGCACATCGTTCGGGTCAAAGAAATACCAAACATTCTCAAATCTTATTTTTCGTCATCTTCAAAACTGTAAGCGTGACAGCTGTTCCTGCTAAACCTTTTATTGGGTCGAAAATGACAGAACATGACATCACTCTGACGTCATTTGTGACTACTGTTCATAAGAGCTCTGGAAAAATTTGGTCACAAGGTGTAAAAATGATGCCCGGAAGCGTCTTGAAAGTTTGGTGGCGACATTTGCTATACTTTAGAAGATATCGACTGAAAAGGAGAGAGGGTGCCGTTTCGCGCCGCCCTTTCCCCTCCCCCCTCAACGGGGCTCGAGGCTTTCAGTTGCTGCTCTCACAGAAATCTTGGTTATATTACAACGTAGTGGAATTGCAAGTGGCAGTATAAGCTTCCTGCCAGCGCCGGACCAGAGTTTAAGCATGCAGGCTGAATTTTAACATTTAACTTTTGAATTTTTTAACCGTTGAGCTTTTTAGAAGCTGTATGAACTGGTCAGCTCCATTTTGGTCCATCACAGCGGGTATGTCATTTGTCAACCAAAATCGAATTAAAAACTTTTATTTGGTCTGGTTACCTACCTCGCCAACTTCTTAACTGAATCGTTTAGTAGCTTTTGATTGGGCACTGCCCACGTTGTCTTTCTAGCTTTTCGTGTCATAGACACTGTCTATGACACGAAAAGAGGCTGCTGACATCGCTTGTCGCGGTCGGATAATACCAATCCACGTCCCAGTGGCTGCTCGATCGCACTTTCCCTGGCTCACCTCTCCCACCATGCTAGACTTTGCTCGGCACAGCCATCGCCTCAGTGCCTCGGGCGGTGACCCGTTCAAAGGGGCTCACAATTCGTATGGTGCCGTGGCTCTCAAACCAATACCTACAGAACAGTGAAACGCACAGGCTCACTTTCCATATAAGGCGAACGGCTGATTCTGGCGCCAGGGCTTCATTCATGCTAAGGCGCCCAATCACAGCGCCGCATTTCAGTTAGTGTCGGGCGCAAAAGCTACTATGCTCCACCCCTCCATCACGTGACCCTGCCCTCACGTGGCCTCAGTCACGTGGTGTTTCCATTTCTTGGCGCATGGCGGCGCTAGTCTCGCAGGGGCGGTGGTAGCTTGCTCCCCCGCCGTCCGGGGGTGATGGGTAGCAACTGCTGGTGACTGTACAACTTTGCTTTTTAAACTTAATTATTTGTTTTGTTATATAATCGGCAATAAATAATGAAAAATAAAATAATAATTATCAGTTACCTACATCAGTTGGATTTACAAATTACATGTGGCGTAGGCTGTAGTGTGCCACCAAGAGCATCAGCATTTGTCTTATCAACAACAACTCCTGCAAGCACACATTCCATATAAAATCAAAATTCTGAACTTAATTTTAGCACAGGAAATCCTGACAATGACTATCTGGCAGTTCCTGGAGTGAACATCCATGCCTTCCTTGACTGAATGTGTGTGACCCACAGTGTAGCCGACACAGTGTATTTCTGTATTTTCTATCAACCGAACTTGATCTGTGTACTGATTTCCCTCAAAACCTGACAAGACGCAGGACGAGTGTAATTTCCTAAAGTATAATGCATGGTGTAGCTTCACAGGGCCTTCACTACTGGGAGTCCAACACCGGCTTAGTGAGGTTGACTAGAACAAACGCTGACTACACCTCGCTGACTAGTTTCTCCACTCCACAGGTCATGGCCGGTGAGAGCGACGGTCCCGGCGGCGCCACGGGCGGAGCCAGCTCCGGCGCCGAGGGAGGCTCGGCACCGGTCCGACCGCGCCCCTCCCCGGCGCGCCTGCCGTCCATACGACCTCCCCGCGACCTGACCCTGGCCTCGGCACTGCGACCGGCGCTCCTGCACGCCACCAAAAGCAAGAGGGTGTTTGTGCCGAATCTGGATGTGAAGCGAGAGAAGCATGATGAAAAGGGGTGAGTACTGGGTGGGCAGATGAAGAATATTTGTGCAATGAATTGTGCCAAAGTTCTATTACCTACTTCCTATAAGTAACGTCAAACTAGACTCGTCGTTGGAACATTGGAGTGACACACGTCATACAACCAGTTTTTTGAAACTGTTCGTAGTTGAAAGTTTTGCGATTTGTGCCAGGTGAATAACATAAACCATACTAATTCTCTTACCAGCTCTGGAGCGCTGTTATTCACCACGTGAATTGTGAGGTGATAATCTGTAACCCTACCCCCACCCTTTCACTATTACTCTGACTTTACTTGTTATGACCTGTTAACCCAACCTGACCCTCTCATGACCTGTGAGCCTGACCTGTGAACCCAACCTGACCTCTCTGTGACCCTCGGACCCCCAGGCGGGACAGTGACCGGCGGGGCGGCCGCGGGGACCGCCGTAAGGACGGAAGAGGTCGCGGTAGGGACGGACGGGGCAGGGGCGGCAGAGATGGAGGAGAGAGAAGGCGAGACAGGCCGGAACTCGTGCAGATGTCCGGGTCGGTGTTCGGCGAAGGTGAGACGATCGAAGAAAGAGGGATAGGGGGAGTGAAATGGATTTGAGACGTTGTGAGTTAGAAGTAATTATATGGGAGATGACATGGGGAATGATTGATAGTTTGAAGTTGCTTTGCTTTTTAATTTTTTTTTTATAAGTAGGTTTCAAGGCTGTTATAAGTTGCTTGGCTGAATAGAATAAGGTCAAATTATTTTACCGAAAGCGCGAAAGCTTTGACTTAGCTCGACTGCGAAACCAGATTTATAGAAGAGCATGCTGAGGCGCCTGTCAAGTATTTACCATGTGTTATTCGTCGATTTTTATCATCTTACCTGCTGTCGCTCGTTATTTCCCAGGTATCGCCGCCCCAGAGAAACGGCCCAGCACTGGTGGCGGTGCCTTTGGCGGCTTTGGAGGAGGCGGCGGCGGCGGGGGCGGTGGAGGGGGAGGCGGGGGCGGCGGAGGGGGAGGTGGGGAGAAAGACTCTGCGATGACGATGCCGGTGTTCGGCGGAAATAAGAAGGTCGACAAAGAAGAGGAGGTGAGTCATAGCTGACTTCTTTGGTTCTACTGTTTTGCAGTGCCTATTTTAGGAGATTCGCATTTGAGTTTTTGTCGTGTCTATTTTCGGAGATTCGCATCGTCAACCTTAACTTACCACGCTGCTTTAGGATGTACTTTTCCTGCATTGCGTAGTGCGTACAGTCTTCAATATACCTCAAAGCTCCCTCTGTACCACCGGTCACCGGATGTAACCCACTTCCGGTTGTGCGCGCGCAGGAGCGGAAGCTGGCAGCGCTGTTGAAGGATAACTTCATTGACGACGACGGCGAGGAGGATGCAGCTGATGAGATGGCTCCCGTTCGGCTGCCGCTCATATCTTCGGCATCGGCCGGCTCCTCCTACCTCACCGATGACGTCAAAGGTGGGCCGCCGCGTCAAATGACGTCACAAGGGAGACTCTGCGTCAAATTACGTCAGTGGTGGATTGCGGGATAAATTTACATATCAGGGTCGATAAAGTAAGAGAGTAATCTGTCTGGCAGTGCCTGATGCATCAATAGTAAGAGGCTTCCTATGTGAAGGATATGCTGCGTGTCAAGTTATTAGGCACTGACCGGAAGTACGTCATTTTCGCAGTGAAATGCGGCGACGAGGATGAGGACGACAACGTACACTCGTACATGAAGCGCAAACTGCAGATCTCCGATAAGGTAAGGTGGCAGTGCTGTCAGCTTCGGAACTCGTACTCTGCTCACAAGCTTTCGGTTGGTTTTCGATAAACAGCGTTTTAGCGAGTTTTAACTCGTTTGCAGTGGTACGATTTCGATACATACGATCGGGTGCATACGATCGTCATGTGATTTGCCATCCTAATGCATTCATTAGAGTATTTGGTGTGTAAACAACTGCAATGTAAGTGTAATGCTGATCCAGTATATACCCGCTTCATCCCATGTATTGCCTTGTATCATCCTGACTCCGTTTCTATCTCCCCCAGAAAATGGACTTGGAACGTAAGCTGGCGGCCGCCCGACGCCGGGAAACCGACCTGCCTGTAGCCGCCATGTTAAAGGAAGGCCGCAAGGATCTCGTATTCTTCCAGGTAGGATGAGGGCAAGACCCTCCTGTAGGCGTGCGCTTTGCATATAGATGACTTGTATAACTGGGGCCTTAAGACTGGGTGTGGAATGCGGTGTTGGGCAGTGTGGCAGCCTGTTATACGCAAAAATTGTCCATGCTAAGCGGTGGGCTCTCCAGCATATTTACTGGTATTGCTGAACACTTTGATGGCATTTTTATGTCGCAAAATAGATTGTGCTTCATCGTTGCATATTTTATGTTCAGCCTTCTTAGGGAAATCAATTTAAATCCTGTTGCACCGCCGTTTCAGTTTCCGGACTGTCTGCCGGTGCTGACCTCTAACGATGACGATGTGAAGCTCAAGCCCAAGAAGGAGCCATCGGCATCAGCTGCCGCCACCACCAACGGCGTCCAGGCGGATACCAAGGTGGGCATTGTATTTGTATTTGTAGAAGCCGATTACAGTGCACACTGCACATGCACTGCAGCCCGTTTACATACAGTGACGGTTAAATAATCCCCTAGGCCCTATCCTGTTTTTTTTTCTGCATGCAATTGATACATCTTGGCAGTTAAAAACGCTGATTTTCGTGTGTTTGATAGTCATCTGTTTTGTATCGATTTATTATTGATAGAATTGCGATAAAATTAATATAGTATTGCGCCTCATATTGATATTGTTTTTCGTTTTTATGTAGGTATTTTATCAATTCAATTTGCTACCGACGTGTATGCTTTTGACTGTACACATGTGACATGTGGCTTTGTTCCATGTGTCTTTATGTGTCAGGAAGCACGCTGGTATCCACCTGTGACCTCGTGTTGACCTCTGACCCGGCAGGCGCCCAACCCTGAGCTGGTGACCTTCAGTGACCTGCCCGAGGGTCAGGTCGGCCGCCTCCAGATTCTGAAGTCGGGCAGGGCTCGCCTGCTTCTAGGGGACCACGTCCTTGAGCTAGACGCCGGCACCCAGGTCAAATTCCTTCAGGTAAGAACTTACAACGAGCTACTACAATGTTTGCAGTTGTTAATAGTTAGAAACTCAACCCTAGAAACCATATGGGGCTTAACCACGCTCTTAATGTTTGGCATCGTGAGGAACCTGTTCAATGTTCATGACAAGGATTACCCAAGGCTGTAAGGCATATGGGCTAAACAATAGTCAAACTCTCTTTCCATATATTGAATACAAACTACAACTCAGTCCCATTATAACCCCGCCCATTTAACACCCCCCCCTCCCCCTCCCCTCGCGCAGGAGGCAGCCTCGGTGTCCACCAGTGCAGACGGCTCTTCTGGCAGCGTGTCGGTGTTAGGGCACATCCGACACCGAGTGGTGGCCTCCCCCGCCTGGGACACCCTCATACACAGGGATGCTAACCGATGACGGCATCTGAAGAGCGGCTAGGGAATCATGCGGGTGTGGAGGGTGTCTCTGTCTTCACTCTTCATGGAGAGGCGTCTTTAATGGGCGTCGGAAATGGGCGTATGTGTTACGGTGCCCATCTTGGAGACGTTGATATTGGCGGGACGTCTAAGATGCTGTGAAGGTGCTGATGTAGGCAGGGCGCTAGTGTTAGAAGGACTCACGTGAGAAAGACGCCCATGTGAGAAGGACGCCCATGTAAGAAAGACGCCAATGTGAGCTGGACACAGACAATGTGAGATGGAGATGAGCTCTGGTGTGCAATACACAGGGTCGCTGTGCAGTAGCAGCTGCGTGTCCCCGTACTCTCAGCAACCCTCACAGGGAACAACGATAAGCGGTCGGAGAGCACGCACAGAAAACCTCAGCTGCTCTTGTATAGGGACCGGCAGTCGATATCAATGTTATCGGTTGTTACTGGACAGGAGAGACGGCTGGATTTGGGGTTCGTGCACAGAAGCAACTGCGGGTCCCCGTACAGCACAGACTGCACTTGTTTCAATACACCGTTGTTTCTGTTATGTTCTTTTACAGGTGGCGGCCAAAATCCATCTCCATTGTTTCATATGAGTCATCGACCTATATAAACGCCCAACTACAGGGTGTCCCAGAAGTCTTGAAGCTTTTTTATTTTTGGCGTGTGACCTGGCTATGCTACCGATTAAGGCAAATGACGCCTCAAACGAAAGAGAATGAACTGAAATTTTGTATTTTCATGCGTAGAGCACCACTTTAGTCGGGTGGCCCCCATTGTGAGTCGCACAAGATTGAGCACTGGTCAGCTTCAGAGCCTTATTTCATGAAGCGAGCCAGCCGCCAGGAAACAGAGTATTGGATCTCCGAGAAAACATTAGCAACATAATGATTTACAGATCAGAAAGTCTCCTGACGTGTTTGCACGCATCCGTTACGGAAATAAGGCTCAGCTGCAGCACGCTAAGCAACAGCCCGTTGTAATCCTTTAATTCGTCGCATTATTATGGGGCTAAAACAAATATCAACCCGTCGGAAATATATGTCGCTAATATTATGTCCCTCGTTTCAGGGAATAAGACAAGAAACAAGAAACTGACAAGAAACGGGCATGGCAACACCGGTGTTTCGCAAACCGGGCGATCTTGGCGGCAGCGAAGAACGTGATCTCTCGTACTCAATCTTGTGCGACTCACAACGGGGGCCACCTGACTAAAGTGGTGCTCTATACGCATGAAAATACAAAATTTCAGTTCTTTCTATTTCGTTTGCGGCATGATTCGGCATAGCAAGGTCACACGACAAAAATAAAAAAGCTTCAAGACTTCTGGGACACCCTGTAGGTCAATGGCCTGGTTAATTGAAGAGATCTAGGTTCAAAAAGAGGTGTGATCGTACCTAGTCGAGGGGCAAAACCACCGATATTTCCTAATCCGTGATCTCCGACGCGGCTTATCGGCACCTGGCAAAACATCACTTGGCGTTCCTATTTCGAAAGCCAAGTAAATCAAGGGAAGTGATTTTTCTCGAACGAATAGGGTCTTAGAAAGTCACATGTGATTTGCTGGCTAAATATTAGTCTTGATGACACTTGGCACCGGGTCGAGGCAGTGTGTGCAGGCAGCAGGTGCCGCTAACTTTACCGTAAAATACAAAATTATTCATTTAGCGGTCACGATTTGGAGCTTTCGCTCCGATGCGTCACATTTGCCTCAGGCCTTGAGAAATTGTTTTTTGTTTATGAAAGGCGTCGAGTGTGAATGGAGTGTTATGAGCTATTTCTAATTTCCTGAATTTCAGCATGAATATATAAAGCTTGCAATACAAAAAGCACATCCGCAAGGTCAGTCTCAGTTATAGTCTTCATGTCGTATCATTTATCAACGCTTCTTTATTCGGCTGTTCCAATTTCTCGACTTCCATTGTTTTCACACTAATTTACGTTTTCAGTCAGTTTTGTTTGTTTTACAACTATTTTTCGTGTATTATTGATGCATTATGATAAATTCTAACTTCTGAGAGACTGTGCATAAACGGTTTCTTAGCATGTATGCTTATATCAGCTCAGCAGCTAATTTTTTTATTTTAAAATGAAATCATTGAGGATGCATGATAATTATATCTTTGAACAGTTTCAACAGGTTTTTATTGTTTTCCAGGTCAGCTCAGAATCCCAGCCGTGATGGAGGTGGAGACGGATGGTGGGTTTCGCATCTCCTCCAACTTTGACTCCGGCAACCTGCAACGGCTAGAGAAAGTGGAACCAGGAACAGTCACCTTCGAGGGCCAGGGTGAGTGTCAGTTTTGCAACTTGCATCCAAGCTGCTAGGCTCACGCTGCATAACTATTGATAGCAAGTTGGTGGAGGGGTTCCATGCACATTCCACAAGCTTCCTCGTGCTGTTATTGTTATGAAATTTGTGGAAAACTTCACCTGTTGAGCTCACCTGCATGTTTATTTCTATTCTTTGTGGCCAGTCTACAAAGTGTGGCAATTTTGATGAGATCTCGCCAGTGCAGGCTTGTGCGGATTTGGTGTTGTGGGGTGCAGATTTTGCTTGGTGCTGTGCAGATTAAGCGTGGTGTGGTGCAGATTTGGCTTGGTGCTGTGCGCAATTGTCATATTGATGGACATGACAGACCAGATGAGATAGATGAGGAAAATCGGAAAAAAATGGCTGGAGCTTCAACAGGTGATACAGTGTACTCTCTGATCTAGATGTGTTTGCGGTGGTCAGAACAAACTATGCCAGCGCTGGCGGTTCCAGCAATCACGGGGATTGCCCACAAGTTCGCACTGTTACAACGGGCCCTACAACATGAAATGCATCGGTCAGATCTGCGAGGCGCCGGCGGTAGAGTGAGAGAGATTAGCACAGATGAACACGGCCGATGGGAAGGTTAGAAGATCACCGCTCCGCCGCTTCAAGGCTTCAAGCAGTCAAAGGCGAATGATTTATCCGTATCGTGTATATTCGATGCAGATAAAAAGTTGTGTCGAAAGAATCGGAGTTTGTTGCACTCTGCACTCTGCAGCACTGGTAACAGTTGGTAGCAGTTAAACGAGATGCTCTTGGCTCATATGATGGTTTGGCGTTGTTGCCCCGTCGTAGGGCGAGATGTGCATTGTGCGTGCCTGATGGCAGGCCTTGAGGACCACCACTTTGCCGGGCTAATTAATTAGTCCAGTCCGTTGTGAATGACATGCCTATCAGATTTGTTGTGCGATACAGCTTATGACCTAATGAGAGATGCCGAAAATGGTTGCATGCGATGGGTCCGCGTTTTGCCGTTAATATTTTTTACAACTGGAGCATTCACCTGTTGTCAAGCCGCTTAGCTAAATGGCATTTTCGACACCATTGGATAGCAAGAAAAAAAAAACATTGGGATAGCCAGGGGCACATCGCACTATTATCGCCCTGGATGAATCGCCAGGGGCTGGTACTGGATATAGCTCTTGTATTGGCGTGACATGTTATTTGTTTGAGTCGTGTGGTGTGTATTTCTCGTTTCATTTCTATGCTACTGAAAAAGCAGGCTTGCGGCTCATGTCAATAGTTGAGATCAGCGCAGCTTTCAACTGGTCACTTTTGAGGTCGGTGCGGATTTTTTTTTGTGCTCTCAGCCGACTTTGGGACGGATTTTCCGGCTCTGTTTGAAGGAATGGTGCGGATTTTGAGTTCGGCCGATGCGTCTCGTCGACCTGCAAGTCATACTTTGCAGTACCTATGGCTTTGTGGCAGGTCAAACGATCAGAAAATATACAATTGGCTGTCAAGCTCAGTGAGATGAAGGTGAAAGACACTTAACAGATCACACATGGCTAACATGACACCAGACACACTCAATCATAAATGGTATAAATGGTTCATTCTCTGTTGCACTAGGGTCACTCTACTGAGCTCATGCACAGCTTATACTCCCCTAAGCCAGAGTGGCAAATTATGGCAATAGAGTTAATAAGCTGCAGCAGAAACAGTGATAAGCCTGCACCAGCCCACACCATTGGACTGGAATCTACACCATGAGTCTTCAGCAAATCAGATCTGGAATTAATAGAATTACCACAAAATATACATTTGTAAACTTTTGATATGATAAATTACAATAAAGGGTCAATGATTCCCTAGCCAACCCTTCTGTGCCTCCTGTGTACCTACCTATCATTGTCTTGAAGAATGACGTGCATGCACAGCAGGTCACCCCATCAAATGTTTGTCTGAACAAATCATTATTCCTGTTGAGGCCTTAAATGCTGTGATGTCGTGTGGATGATGCAGATTCTGCCTGACATCAAACATTATCTTTGCCGTCAGTGATACCTTGAATCCGGCCCAACATACCTAACCTACCACAGCCCTATACATTGTAGCCTTTGTTAGACCCTTTGCAGAAGCTTGAAAAAAAAACAATGGATCAAGATTTGTTCGCGACGGTGATTTGTCTGGATACGGTGTCTTCGGTGTTGCCCCGTCCACCCTGCCCTTGCTGCTAACTGTTCGCTTGTTAACTATCGTCTGACCGATGTCCTCCCACCAGGTCCCGACGACCTGTGCGCCCACGAGTTCAACTGCTGGGTGAACCCAGACTGCGGAGGCACAGAGTACGAGAACAACAACCGGACATGGTTCCACTTCAGTTTCTCAGGTGAGGGAGAGGACGGAACTTTTGGCGGGACTGGAGATTGATCAACCGGCGTGAGACGGTCATGAAAAGGAATCAGTGAAGAAATTGTACATGAATAACTAATGTCTCTGGTCTGGTGATTCACTTATGAGTAACTTATGGTGACCGGTGTACTTCTTACCAATTCGCTCTGCTAAGACACTGTCTTGAAACCCTCTTTTTTCTTCACCAGGTGGCCCACCATTCGCCACCGTGCGGTTCAATATAATGAACATGAACCGCCAGGGCAAGCTGTACGCGCAGGGTATGCGGACGGTGTACCGCGTGGAGCCCCTGTTTCCCGAGTGGAAACGGCTCACAGACACACACCTCTACAAGGCGAGTCCTTGGGGAGGGGGAGCATCGTGTGGAACATCGTTAGCCGAACGGGGGATAGAACACCTTACCCCCCCCCCCCCCGAGGGGCAGTTCGAGAGCTATCCATCGTTATATAATGCTTATCTTTTTTTTTTTACTACTTGCTACTTTTCAGCCTCATCCGAAGCGTTGTCACGTCTCTCGACTGCCTGTTTCATACCTTGTTTTGTTGTTGGAAGCCCATCTAATGCCTAATTATAAGTAGTATCCTATGCGCCTTCATAATAGGCATCAGAGTTACTCATCCTGTGGCCTATCGTTCCTCTTTGCACTGTCACTGACGATGCTGTCCGCAGGTGGAGGACAACAACTTCATCATGAGCTTCAAGTACTACACACTGGAGGATGCCGGCTGTACGACCTACTTCGCCTTCAGCTTCCCCTACTCCTACACCGAACTGCAGGTGGGCAGAGTTATTGTGCGAGTGTTTTTCTGACGAGGGAATTATGATCACCTGCGCAAATTATTCCTATTGGCTAGGAATCGTAGAGCATGCCTTTGATGTGTAGATGCCGAAATGCACATAATCCAAAGACCAAAGCCATGCTTATTGTGATCAAATGCATGTACATGATGAAATGCAAGACTGACGAGTCCTCTCTGCTTAGATTGGGAATCAAAGCGTCGTTTTGGAAAGCGCTAGAACGTCAAGCTGTTCTCTTCGATTTCAGAGATCTCTGCATTCGTATGCACTGCGTGGCAGTGCTGATAAAATTTCTGGTTTGCTGTCTTGAATGACACTACTCTCATAATTCGCCTTCCGGCTGTTATCTTTAATATGAGTATTCGTTTCCTGTCCACGGTCATCATATGACATCTCTGTTTTTATTTTTCAGACGCACCTGAACGCTCGCGACCTGCAATTCCGTATCACACCACCTATCGGCATCTACTACCACCGCGAGTTGCTGACGTACACGCTAGATGGCAGGCGCGTCGACCTACTGACCATCACCGCCTCTGACGGTGGCGAGGGACGCGAACACCGGCTGCCCGGCCTGTTCCCACTGGCTCAGACTGAGCAGCGCGCAGTGCGCTTCCCTGGGAGGAAGGTGGTTCTTCTCTCAGCGCGGGTCCACCCGGGAGAAACACCCTCGAGTCACGTCCTCAACGGCTGTGTGAGGTTTCTGCTCTCCGCCGACCGCCGCGCGGTGAAGCTGAGACAGATGTATGTGTTCAAAATCATCCCGATGTTGAACCCTGATGGCGTAGCTCGCGGACACTATCGTACCAACATCCACGGAGCCAATCTCAACCGGATGTATGGTGACCCTGCTCGCGCACTACACCCAGAAGTACACGCGGCCAAGACGGTGGCGATGTATCACCACCTAGGTCGCCCGCCGGCGGATTGTGAGGTTCAGGACTCTGAGCCTAGCGTGGCAGAGGTGGACGCACAGTTCGTGAGACCTCGGGAGCTTGTGGCTCCGCCGAGGCCTCCCGAACCTGAGGATGTGTCCAATGACGCGTCGTGCTTCTGTGCTGGCGATGATGAAAGCAGTCTCGGGATGCCCGATCTGAGCCCGCTGAAGAGCCTGCTTCAGATGACGCCGAGAGTCCTGCGGCCGGGAGAGAGGACGGAGACGGCCAGAGTGCTTCCACCGCCGCCCCCTCCCCCTCCGTTTGGGGCAGCGGTGGGTGGGGCGTGCCCTCCCCCGCCCCCGCCCCCGCCGCCCCCACAGCCGCAGCATATAACTGTGACGGCGACTTCGACCGTGATAGGGAATGTAATGGAGGATAGAGCTTCTGTGCAGACTTCGGGAGAAAACCCGGCTCCGAAAGCTACACAGAAGGCGGAGAAGCCAACAGTGGTTGGTGACCAGGCGCAGGTAAATCAACCAATGAGGCAGTAATGATTGAAAACTAGGTGTTATGGCATATAATGATGTAGCTCTGGAAAATTGAGACTTTGTTGCTACCCATGTACTGCTGAGTAGCGAGGCTCATTTTCTTTATTTTTGCCGTACAATTTAAGGGTGCGATGCATCAATGATGTGCTTTTTCTTCGCGATCTAATGACAGGATCGACATGGTTGCGGGATCTTTGCATACGATTACGGTTATTTATTTTGTTTTGTTGCATCGTGTTGCTTATTTATTTGCCGCACCTTAAATCAGATCGAGGCTGCTTTGAATGCAGCAAACAGGCGGTCCACCTCACTTCAGGCAAGGAAGCCGGTGGCGAATATCGAAGAGAGGCCGATCGTGAGTGGGCTGACGACGGGGTGACGGTATCAGTATGATGAAAGTGGTGATGATACATAAGATTGGGTTTAGCCATGCTCCTTCGTCCCTGGGTTACGGCCACGGGTCTTCAACTGAACAGTGTGACAATGCCTGAGAACACCCGCAGCGTCAGAAAGGACTCTTATCATGTTGTGTCCGTTTGCATCGTCAAGGACGATGGGTGTAGCCGGACATTGAACTGGTGGAGGTATCTGGTATTTACTTTTTGCTTGCAACTTGGGTCTTTCACACAGTCCAAAAGTGGACGTTGATGATTGCTGTTCAGTGTCCCGTGTGCAATCGAACCACCTCACAATCCAGACTGACGCTAAAGTCGATCTAACCTGAAAACACCGGCATAGGCATGAACGCCGATGTCGTAGCCGTGCCAGGTAAGTTAGCCCAAAACTGAATCAGAAATCAGTTTGTTTCGGAGCATGTGAAGGCGGCCGGTGAACGCTTGAATTTGCGTGGAACTCAGACTCTCCTATAACTAGAAGATGGCAAAACCTGCGTTGCTTCATTTAATTATTTCTAGCGCCGTCTTTTTCTTGTAGCAAATTTGTAGAAAAGACCTATGTATGCAACAAACGTTCGCCCCCTCGCCTGCCTTCAGTTTCCGACTCTCCGGCATCCAACACATTCTGCTCTTCCCTTTGTAGACTGTGTGAAAGTCCTCAGTTTCAAGCAAAAAAGTGATACATCCACGTCCAGATACCTCCACCAGTTCAATGTCCGGCTACACCCATCGTCCTTGACGATGCAAACGGACACCACATGATAGCAGTCCTTTCTGACGCTGCGGGTGTTCTCAGGCATTGCCACACTGTTCAGTTGAAAACCCATGGCCGTAACCCAGGGACGAAGGAGCATGGCTAAACCCAATCTTATGTATCATCACCACTTTCATCATACTGATACCGTCACCCCGTCGTCAACCCAATCACGATCGGCCTCTCTTCGATATTCGCCACCGGCTTCCTTGCCTGAAGTGAGGTGGACCGCCTGTTTGCTGCATTCAAAGCAGCCTCGATCTGATTTACTTTGCCGACATGATAGTCTGGCAGGTATTGCTGAAATGCCTTAGACCCTAGAACATTCCCCTAATAATTCGTGAATTTTGTCGCGAACTCCATATAGACCCGCCTATTTCCTACACATGATGCAGCATCGATGATTCCGAATGCCGGCAATTGTCGATAGATCATTTCATCATGTAAACTGTATGCTTCAGCTTAACCGTAACTTGGAGGTCATCCAAGCCAAAACACCGTATTGGGGCATAAAACGCGATACGGTGTTTTTGCTTCGCGAAAAGGCACAAAATTTACATACAAACCAAGCCAAACACCATATCGAATGTTAAGTAAAATGATAATGATTATTATGAAATTTGAATAAATGTATCAATTCTGCAAGATCAGACAATTCTAATGGTCTTTTTCCTATCACGGAATGTTGATTCCTTCACATAGAAATCACACCTCAAAGTAACAAAACTTAAAATCGTTCTCCTGTAAAATTTGAAAAACCTGGGATACGGTGTTTTGGCTTTGGACGGCAGATTTACTCCGCTGAGTATCTATTCTCCCGACTGTTGACTCTGACTCCCCGCGCAGGCCGCCGCCGGCTCCGACTCCGAGTCGCTCGTCTCCTCCGGCGAAACTGAACGCTCGGCCTGGAGTGCCAGCTCCGTGTCCTCGGGAAAAGACGAGCCACCCGCCGTCGACTCGAATCTGTTCCTCTACATGGACATGCACGGACATGCGTCCAAACGAGGTAAGAGAAAGATGGTGAACCGGATGCGGGCGGGGGCGATGTGGTTGGGTGGTGACTGGTGGGTGCGTGGTGATACCTACGTAACAAGCCCCGTATAGTGGGCACCAGGGATTGTTAGCTCCTTCAGCAACCACCATTCGGAATTAAAAGAATGTTTTCAACAACGTCCCATATTTTTATGTCTCAAATTATGGAGAGATGTTTTGCGGGAGGTCGTGGTGCGCCAAAAAAAAAAGAAAAAAGGTCGTGGCGCGCCATTCGCTTGGCTCGTCGTTCGGCTTTGTGAACGACAGAAAAGAGGCACCACCGAGATTCGAACTCGGGATCTCCTGTTTACTAGACAGGCGCTTTAACCAACTAAGCCATGGCGCCGCTGAGTAGAGGTGTTGAAATGGTGCTATACAATGAAAGCTAATAAAAGAAGCGACTTGTGACGTAAAAGCTATTTACAAAATTGACACGTTCAGGTGCTCGCTTCGCGAGTTTGTTAGCCCTTCAGGGCGGTTCACCTCGCCTGTTCTAACCCTCCATTCCATTGTGTCAATTAAGGCATGGGAAATCGGGGTCCCCATTCCCAATCGGCCTAGCCTCAATTCATTCGCAATCGGCCTTAGCCTCGGCTCAATCCACTCCAGTGATCCTCACGTAACCACGGCGATGTCCCCAGGCTGCTTCATGTACGGCAACCACTTCAGCTGCGACGAGACCATGGTGGACTGCATGCTGCTGCCCAAGCTGGTCTCCCTGAACTCGGCCAACTTCGACTTCCTCGCCTGCAACTTCACCGAGAAGAATATGCACCACAGGTAGGCTTATAGCGAAAATCCCGGCCTATCTCGTACCTACATTTTTACAATCTACATCACCAGTAAAATGTTTCTTGGGGTGACAAACGAGCGAGCTAGAGTTTGCCCCCCACGTACGCAAGGTCAAATTAGTTTAATTTTCCGGTAATCTACGAAAAACTTCACTAGTTCGCGCTTACCTCGTCATAAGTGTGCGCTGATTTCATGAGGGTTTTGGAGATGGCATAAGGTGCATTTCGCTTCCACCAGACCCTATGAGTATGAGTCTCTCATTTCTTTCTCCTCTCATCGTAAGAACGTCTTCCCTTATCTCTCCCATCATTCTTCCCTTCTCCCTTTCGCAGAGGAAAGAAGGACGGCCTGAGCAAGGAAGGCAGCGGCCGGGTGGCTCTGTACCGCGCCACGGGCCTGGTACGCAGCTACACCCTGGAGTGTAACTACAACACGGGCCGGTTCTGTAACGTACTGCCTCCACTGCCCGCGGAGCCGGACCCGCCGGCAGATACGCCGCTAGTGTTTGAACCGGTGCCCTACACGCCGGCTCACTACGAACAGGTGGGTAGAGGAGAGATGGGAGGGAAGGGAGAGAGGGTGAGTGATATGAATGAATGAATGAATGAATGAATGAATGAATGAATGAATGAATGAATGAATGAATGAATCAATGAATGAATGAATGAATGAATCAATGAATAAATGAATGAAATTGTATTTTACCGCAAAGATGCGAGTCTTTGTCTGTGGAATTATACATAGATCAGGTTTAATGAGTAAAAATGCTTAAGTGAAGATTATTACATTACTCAAGCGATTTTGGCTGATTGCTAAAGTTGAGTGTTTCACAGAAAGTAGCCCAAACTTGTCCCAAATACACGATGAACTATGTTGATTGCTTCGGTTTATTAATATTCATGTACCTTGAAATAGCATATATGAGTAGTACAGAAGAATGCACTAGCCCAAAACATTCGGCCTTTAGGGTATTATGTATGTATCATTGAAACTCAATACAATTTTACTGAATAGTTGAATATTGTTGAGTCAAAATGAAGGGCTTCGAGTAGAATGCTGAGTCTTGCCAGAGGCTTTTTACTGAAGGCCTTTTAACTTGCGAGTGTTATTTTTGGCGAATAAAGACTTGTGTCAGGGTTATAGCACACTCTGGCCTGCATATCGAGTTATCAGTAATGTGAAAATATCATCAATCTTGTTTATTAGTGGAGATCCTGATCCTATCAGAATGTAGCCGCGTATGATTAAAGGGACCCTCCCACCTTCAAAAAAGTTTATGAATTGGCATGAAAGTGATGTCGCTCGGTTCAGAAAGAGCGAAAACGAATATCTACCAAATTTCACCGAAAAATATTCACCGGTTTTCAAGATATTAGACTTTTACTTTTGTTTACTTTTTTTGGGATCTCCGCTGTTTCTAGCGACTTTATTTTAGAAGTGCGGCGTTTGCGGCAGATGTTGCGCGCAAATAGCATATACCAGCGCGTGCTACAAAACGTTTTAGTCAAACATTTAAAAATAGTTAATATTTGCGCTGACGTCACACATTCAGAGGGGTATTCCTAAGCATTAGCCCCTCTGAATCAAAATGCTGCAATTTTGAAATTCAATATTTCCGATTTAAGGCATTTCTCGATGTTGTGAGTGCCGAAACCGGTAATTGTGAGCCAGGGACCTCATTTTGGCTATCTCAACTCAAATCTAATGTTAAAGGAAGACTGCCACCTTCAAAAAGTTTTCTCAGATCGGCCTATGATTTATTGCCTGGACAAAACAAAATTTTAGAATTCACCTGACAAAGTATCATCACGTGAATCGCGAAAAAAAAAATGGTCGATTATCATACAATTATCAATCGGTTAATGTCTAGCGACAATGTTTACACATCACTAGACTTCAAGGTCATAAGATTATTACATTTTATTTGAAAAAGTAAGGTATTTTATGATTTACTAATAAATGATTTCATAAGAAATTGGCCATGTTTAATTTATTTTGCATTTAAGTTCGTAAAACATTTAAAAATCATGGCTCGTTTGGAATGGGTCCATGGCCCATGTTAAACCCCATTTCCCACACTTTTTTGGAAAAAATGAACTGCTGAATATATAAGTTTCACTTTTATTTTGACACTCCAAAATTCTTCTCTGATCTCGAAACAATCAAAGTTTTGACATATATTTACCAAAAGATAAGAAAATTCATGTTTCAAAGTTATCGATAAACAGTAGAGATGTCGGTTATCTTGGACTGAAAAAATGGCATCAAACTGAACTTTGGTCTCCGATTTCTCGCAAACGGGTTCGAATTTCGGAAAACCGACTTCAGTCTGGGACATAGGTGGCTCAGCTCTAGTGAAAACCGTTTTGTGGAAAAAAGGTGGCCGTCTACCTTTAAGGTGGGAGGGTCCCTTTAACACATGTGAACGATGTGGGATGTCTGATATTCCTTTGTGATTTCTGAATTGTGTCTGTGTTTGTCAACTTTGTTCAACCCGACCGTAAAGTCGAAACTCTGCTGGTATACCACACAAAACTGACCCTAACTGCCTGTGTCCAGGTGGGCGAAACTCTGCTGTAATACCACACTAAACTGACCCTTACTGCCCGTGTCCAGGTGGGCGAGGCGCTGATGATCTCCATTCTGGATCTAACCGGTGACAACCCGCTGTCTCGGCTGCCGCGCTCCGAGTACAGGGATACGGCCGGAGTACGCGCATGGATCAAACGGTCAGTGAAAAGGAGGAGTCGGGTCAGACAGTTAGTGAAGAAGATCACCACGGTCTGTTGATAGGGAGAATGATCAGTCAGTAATTCACTTTATCCAGACGTTGGCCGAAAGTGGCTGAAATTCATGGGTCAATAACTGTATCAATCAGTCTATATATTCCAACTGTATCTTGGAAGTTCCATAAGCAATGTTCCAAAGATAAATCGCCTTCATGCTTTTTAAGATGTTGTGTGAATTTTCCCATCACATTCACATTCGCGTCCGATCCGCTTCTCGCGACAGGTTCATGACAGTGACGAAGTTCGGCGAGAACAACATTCTGTTTTCGCCGGAGAAAACGGCTAGAACCATGAAGGTCACAGAACGACACAGACAGGTAACTTTACCACTGTTTATCATCAGAACATTTTAAAAGAAAAGACGAGAATCCATTTTGATATAGGTAGTTCGTGCTTTATGGATTGTGCTCCCAACGCATGTTGTTTGGTTGCTTTCGTCGATATTGCTCTTTGTTATTTTTTGTTATGTCGCCTGTTTTATTGTTTAGGCTTTGTTATGTTTGTAACTGATTGGTTCATCCCCGTGACTTATTTCTAGCACGATATTTATCATCCTGTGACATAAAAGCTACCGAGAGCTTTATTGTCTATACAGGATTCCTTTTATTTCGCTCGAATGGACATTACATATTTATCCATTGTCGTCATTGATCAGACGTCCATCGAGAGTACACTAATAAAGCTGAACCACCCATTGTACCACACACAACACTCACCCTTATTGACCTACCCCATACGTTCGTCAGGCGGCGGCTGAAGAGCGAAGTCCAGGAGCCGGCGGACGCAATGTCTCCTCGACTCCAGCAGGAGGGACCGGAGCACAGCGCAGACTGGCGCTGGGCACCACCTCCCCGGGACGGTGTGGGACGGACACCAAGGACCGGAGACGACCGCCACTCAGGAGGGTCCGAAAAGGTTGGTGTGGGGCGTGTTGGGTTTAGGGGTGTGTGTTGATAGTGTGATCAGGGTCTGCAAACTGGTCAAGCTATCACAGATGTTTGCCCGTGCTGTCGCGTTTTGTATTTTATGTTTGATGCGGGGCTCGACTTCATGTTTTTTTTTTTTTCATTAGTACATTACTCATGTCGCTTATCAATTGCATGTATTACCGATTCAACATCGATAATTTATCAAACCACGCATTCATAACTTGGAGCTATGCTCAAAACACAGAAGCCAATAGCATACTCATCAGTCACCGACCAGTGTATTATTATATACAGAATCTCAATTAACCCCCATACGCCATCCACAGCCAAGAAGCTGTCGCCCGGCAAAGTCGAGGACCAGGAGAATGCTACGGTGGCCAGGCCGGCCAACAAGCGCTCTGCTGACGCACTTCTGGCTCCCAGTACGGCGGTGAAAACCGACCCGGAGATCAATCTGGATAAGGTTAGTTCGGGTAATGGGTTTTACTAGTTTACAAAGGGATGTGTTCGTAGGTCAATGCTGGGTCTGGCGAAGTGAACCTCTTCAGCCAACGTTCGATTGGTCTACCGATACTTCCCAACAAGCTCTGAATGTTTTCAGAAGCCTATGTGGGACGTGTACCAAAGTAAACGCCTGATAAGTCCTGTTCGGTTGAACGGACTTTGACTCAGCTCGTGGCGTGCTTGAAAGACAGTTTGTCCTCTTGTTTGTTACTTCTCATTTGTACGATTTCATTTATGTCCAGTGTCGTGCCATGGATAGCTGCTGTCACAACATTCTCTGACCCTTTATCGCCATCCTTTTCTGGCTGTCTGTGTCCTGTTTTAAATAAAAACAAATATCACAATTTTTGTAAAATGCGCGTTGTCCATATATTCGGCCCGGGCACCAGCGCCATAAAAATGTACGATGTTGAGAGTCTGGCTATCGGATGGTACACTCGGGGGCAGATTGATGTTCCACCACTCCCTACCTATCGGGCTCCCATGGCTCAGCACTGGCAGCAGCCAGTGTTGAGCCGCTACCTCACCCTAAAGTACCTAAGTCCCTCTCCGAATGCCCCCTCTGAAATTCTCTCTCCGTTGTTCCAGGAGACTGCCGGCCCTGCGTCGCAGCCGTCAGATCTAGCCAGTCCGGCCGGACCCAGTCAACTGCGAGTCAAGAGCCCCGTACTGCAGCCGCGCTTTGGACAGCAGCTCACTCAGACAGGTACGGATAGGGAAGGGAGAGAAAGTAAGGAAAGGATGGAGGGAAAATGGAGGGTGGGCGACAAGGGGAGATGGGAGGAAAGAAGCTAAATCGTACATGGAGACAAGACGGGAATGTGCAGACCTGTGGTGAGGATGATAAAAAGAATGCAGAGAGTGAGGTATCGTATGTGAAAGATTGAGGGACTGTGTTTGTGATGGGTAATGTAGGACTCGTGCTTACATTTTCCTCGGGAGCAGCGGTGCCGCTCCAAGGGAGCAGCCCGCATGAGATAAAGTTCGGAGGTGCCGCTTCGGAAAACCAGTCCGGAGGGGGGTTGCGGCGTGGAGGAGAAGGATTTCAGTATCCTGAGGATAGAAGCACGGAACGGTCACTTCAGACTAGATATGACCTCAGATGTGACCTGACCGGCGTCTCCCTCCCCACCAGGCAACTCCCCAGCCGGGCTGAGCCGCAAGCCAGTGCGTCGCGCCCTCTCTGAGAAACGCAAGGTGCTCAAACCAACCCCCGTCAAACTGGGAGAGAGTGGCCTTCAGACCGGCGCCGCTCCCAAGCTGCGCCGCTCCGGGAGCCTCGTAAACGCCGCCTCAGCAGACGCACCGCTGGCAGAGACATCTGTTGTCAATAATCTGAACCTCATCTTGGGGGACAAACGTCAGGTGGCTGGCCTGGCCTGGCCAGAACCGGTTGCCGGGGCAACGGCGGCGTCTGGCGCGCTTTCAAAACGCCCGCCGAAGAGGAAGAAGCGCGCGGGGAAACCGGAGGCTGCGACAGCGAAAAGCGATGGTTTGGCGCCTTGTCGCAGTCTTGGCCATTTGATTCAGATGGTGAGCACTCCGCCAAGCTTTGCCAACCTCTTCATGGCATCGGCCAGCACAGGCGAGTTGGAATCGAGCGCGCGGAGTGTGGGGTACGCACAATTAGCGACAGAGTCCACGAGTGGAGGAGCGCCGTCAGGGGCCTGGTCTGGGCGCAGTGAGTCGACACTGGACGCCCAGGATGAGTCGGCCACACTGCCGGATCAGCCGGAGCCGCGCGCCAGACGACATGAGAGCTGCGAAAGCTCGCCACTGAGCTTCGCCGGAGCTTTGAGTAGCGCCAGTAATAGCCCACGTGGTCACCAGACAAGCCAGCCTGCCTCTCCGGCGTCGCCGAAACAGCCAAACTCGCCGAAGTTTGGTCACTCATCGCCAAAATATAGCCAAGATCTGCCAAAGCTAGGCGAGAGTCTGCCGAAGCTTGGCGGGGCAGGTTTGGCGGAATCTGACAGCGCGGTGGCGGGGTTTGGCCAAGGCGGGTCTGCCCCCGTGTCCACTACACCTTCGGCCGTGGCCTACGACGCCCCGGTGTTGTCTCCGCGCAGTCCACGCATGCGCAGACCGTCAGTCAAGACGCGCTGTTCCACCCGCATGGCCGCCAAGAAATCCGCCAAGACGCTGAAGGTGAAGCGGGCGGTGCGTCCCTTGGCGGATCCGGCCGAGCCGTCCACCTCGGCGGCTGGAGCGGCCGGCGAAAGTTCCGCCGAGAAACCCGCCAAGGCGCCCAGAAAGAAACTCGCTCGCAGGTGAGAATGATGGGGAAAAAGTTAGGTGTTATCAGAGTTTCAGCTTGTTTTTAGGTTTGTATCAATGCGTACGAAAAATGTTACTTTTTTCTCATGGGCCAACTGATTGCACCAGTTAACAGTGTTCACTTGTATATCTTCGCTTACAAGTGTTCTTCTTCAATAAGCTTTCTTCAACATATTATTTATCCAACTGCAGACGCATTTTAACGTTTTTACTGTATGTTTTTCGTAATGAAGCATGTGTTTTGACGTACTCTGACGTGACATCTGTTCCGTCGTGTTTTCGGTCCCGCAGGGCGTCTGCACCTGTGGGTCCCGACCCGCTGGCCGCCCTGGAGCTGATGACGTCACCGGGCGGCAGTCTGGCCGGTGACGTCACCACTGCCCTGGACGCGCCGCCTCTGAGGGCCAAGGTAGGTGTCGTGACGCGTGCCGTGTGGGACCTCAGCGTGTTGGTGTGTACAGGTGTGAAAGGAAAGGAGCGCCGTTGACCTCTGAAGTCCAGACGCCATAAAGCACAAATCACACAGATGAGAGGACAGGAGGACCCAGCTGGGGTTAGAGATTCGCCAGAGCCATATACTGCATTACAGGTAGAGGACAGGCGTTGATGTAGGGCTGCGGCCCGCAAGTACCGAACGGAATGATTTGATTCTGTATTTATCGTTGAACACGATTAGGTATATAATACTATATAGTGGGTACAATTGAATGTGGAAGGTCACAGGCGAGCGCTGCGAGAATGGTGTAGAACTTGGAATGGAGACGTTAAGTGTTCTCGGTTCCTCTCGGTGCTATTGGGACTTGAAGTTGCTATAGGATAAGTATATCGATAGATGTTTCCTAACAACTGGCTCCATCCCGTTGGGACAGTCTTATCCCTAAAGAACAGACTTCCCAGACGCTCAATCGGTCACCCAAGCTGCTCACAGAATCCCCCTTCTTTCTTTCCCCTTTCATGTGCGTTCAAGCTCATATTTCCACGGCATTAGGCTCAAATGAGATGGGATTGCAGCTGGTCATTTTCGTTTGCCTTTGGCGGAAGACCTGTCCCGACATGACATTAATTAGTGCTAACGATGCGTACTTATGACGTCATTTCCGTCATTAATGAGAATACTGAGACGCGGCCGGTATAAATTAATTCCTCGTTACTGTTGTGAAGTGCATAACCTCACTAAATTTAAAGGTGCATTGGCTTCAGTACAACTCCTTAACCCGCGCCCTGGTGGGGTCTCTTTATAACGCGACCTGGTGGGGGGGGGGGGCTATTTTTTGCCCCCCTCGTATCTCCGAAACTACAGAACGGATCCGCAAAATTCAAACGGCGTTCGAAAGGCCAGTCAAATTTGTCGAGGGAAACCAAATTTCATTGACCTCGGGGTCACCGATGACGTCACAGGTCAGGTCAAAGATGCCATGTTTCACCGTTCACGGGTCATCTAGGGAATGCGCTATAACACCGAAGAAAACGCATTTTTTTTTCGAGAATCAGCGATAGGGCGTCAGTTGCCTAGTAGATATGTTGCTATTAGAGGTCACTGACAATACCAGGTCAGGTCACAGGTCAGGTCACCAAGGGTCACAGGTCAGGTCACTTGAGCCCAACTTTACTAAGGTTGTGTGATGCATGTTTTATGGCCAATTTTTCATTTCCAACTCAATGGTGTTGGTTATAAGCAGGGCTGCGGAGTCGGAGTCGGAGTCGGAGTCGGAGTCGGTCGGAGTCGACAGTTGTGACCGGAGTCGGAGTCGGAGTCGGAGTCGATTTTAGAAACCCGAGCCGGAGTCGGAGTCGGAGTCACCGAAAATCTGTCGACTCCGCAGCCCTGCTAGGCCTGCGGAGTCGGAGTCGGGAGTTGGAGTCGGTCGGAGTCGACAATTCTGCCCGGAGTCGGAGTCGGAGTCGGAGCTGGTTTTTGGAAGCCGGAGTCGGAGTCGGAGTCGAAGTCGCCGAAAATCCATCGACTCCGCAGCCCTGGTTATAAGACTATCAGGTATGGCTTAGGTCACTTTCTGGTGAAGTTCAGGTCAAGGTCAGGTCAAGGTCAGGCCAAAAAAGGTCAAATTTTAAAGTTGATAGTTTTGCATAAAATGGGTATTGATTCGATGCAGCTCGTCACGGGGAGTCTAATGGTGGTCTTTGTTTTGCGCTACGGGGTCTAGAATTGCTAAAAATTGAGTTTGAAAATTTGACGTCATCAATTTTGAACAGTTTTTTCGCTGTAACTTCGCCAAAAAACGAGTTATCAATCTAAAATTTGGTATGTGGATGGAAGGCAGTAAGGACTATCACATATATTCCGGTTTTTCCGAAATTCAAAAAACTTTTTGGATTTTTCGATGATTATACCCAAAAAATTATTTTTTGATTTTTGGGGGTCAAAATCCAAAAATTTAAAAAATCCGAGATAGCAGTTTTGTAGCCCTGTCAATTCTACAGCTTTTATGTCCTTACCATTTTTCTGTATTTGCAAAGCTATAGGCCTGACAGCTCTTCCCGCGAAACCCTTTTTTGGTCCGAAAACGGCAGAACATGACGTCACTCTGACGTCATTTCCGGCCAACCTATCATAGCCTTTGGAAAAATTTTTGGTCACAATGTGTAAAATTAATGTCCGGGAGGGTACTGAAAGTTTGGTGACGATAGGCGCAGCGGTTCTGGAGATATATCGAAAAGTCTAGAGGGGGGGGGGGCAAAAAATAGCCCCCCCCCACCAGGTCGCGGGTTAATTCACCAGCTACTTCCTTTCAACTCCTAAATTAACCTGTTGCTTCAGAACAATAGTTGATTGTTTCAGAACTTTGTGTTTCAACAAATCCCCAATGGGGTTTTCGTCACTTAGTAGAGCGAGATCGAGCGCTCCTAACCATTTGCGAGACAATCAACCCGCGCGCCTGGAGCCGACTTCAATTCACGTCTAGCGGTGCGGTCGCTGCCGAGCCTGAGGCGCTGTCAAAGCAGCCCGTATTTACCGCCGGGGCGAGGTATTGAACGCGGATATCGCGCTTCTCGGAGACGAGGCGGCTGGTCGCCGCTGGCCGCTGGCGAGGCTGGGATGGTGGGTCTATTTCTGGTGGTGACGGTGGATAGCCTTGGCTGGTGGGTTTATTTCTGGGATAGCGGTGGGATAGCTTGGCTGGTGGCCTAGTGGGTCTATTTCTTAGATAGCGGTGGGATGGCTTTGCTGGTGGGTCTATTTCTTAGAATGCGGTGGGTTGGCTGTTGGGTCTGTTTCTGTTGGTAGCGATGGGTTGACAGCAGTGGGAGGTTCCTGGTGGTAACGGTGGGTTGATTGGGATGGTTGTTTACTGGGATGGTTGTTGTTTACTGGTGGCAGCCGGCGGCAGTGGCGGTCGGAATAATTGCTAGCACCGATGGTGGATTTTCGTTGGTACCGACATGATGCATTTGGTAGCCGCTTTTGTGACATCCAGTGGCATTGTTGGGAGATTTGATAAGTCCCCACGCCCCTCCCGATTTAGTTAGGTGTCCACTGTCCAGTGGTCACGCCTAGGCGTGCCTGGTATCGTTATGAAAGGTTTTATTGCCCTCATTCAATGAGACTCGGGCAGTGTTCCTTCAGCCGTTGTAACCAAAGTATTTCCCGCCACCCCACTTCACTGTCTATTCTCCGGCAGGTGCGGAAGCCTCGCGTCAAGTCCAAGCCGCGCTCACCGGGCGCCCGCTCTGTATCCGTCTCAGGGGGGACGCTCTGCTCCCTCACCGCTGATCAGGATATCCCGGACGGACCGCGGCGCGCCGTCTCAGAGGGTCACGGGTCCCCCGAGCCGGGCCCGGCCCTGCCGCCCGCCGCTGGGAGACTGCTGAAGAAGAAACAGGGAAAGCTGGCCCGGCGCACGGGTTTGGAGCGAGGAAGGCCCGCGCTGCAGCAGGTCAAGAAGAGGAAGCTGAAGGAAAAGGTCTGAGCGACGGACGGTGGTTGATGTGGGGTTGTTGAAGAGAGTGATGGACGCGAGGGAGGCGGGTTGGCGGTGAAGGATGCTCCCATGGTAACTCTATGGGACAGTTTCTAAGATTTTGACTTCATTGACCAGCACTGACGAACGTTTTTATTTGGGGGCTGCTCAGCGCTGGGTTTTACATTCAAACCGCGAGGCAGAGGGTTCAATGAGCTAACCCGTGGAGTGGTACATATAGAGGGCGCAGCTGTCGCTCTATACCACTGACGTCATCATGGCGGCTGGTTGTGCCGCCATGACGTCATCATAGGACAAATTAATGACGGCAGCGGGGCACTGCCTCACGAAAACCGCGTATTTATTGGCGAAGTCTCGTCGCTGGGACGATAAGAAGACTGTGATAGCCTTGTTTAAGTTAATAATTTCATCTTTTTGTTGACGTGGCACCGAATATGGCGCAGAACGCGACGGTTTTCGGAGTTGAGAGCTGCGATGGACGATGAGGCTTGGTGTCGGAGCTCATGAACTGAGAGTTTATCGTAAGACTATTTTATTCGAAAGTGAAAGCATCCTTATGTGCTCTGCGAACGGCGAAAACGATGGTTAGCTTTCCAGCGAAGTTTTGCTTTTAATCTGAGGTTTTTTCACGATTGTCGTTGCTAGCTTGTCAGATAGGAAGCTGGTTCGAAATTAGACGTTGAAAGGGTCCAACGAGTCGATAAAAGAACGAACGAAAGAGGAGGAAGACCATTGTACAGGCCCTATTATTGTTTATTGCTTGGCTATGCTTTATTTTCCAAAATCCTGAGTAATCAGTATGATGGATTTTCTCAGACCAGCGTCAGTATTTGTATCTAGAGAATGATTCTCTAGAGAAAAATCGGAAGCTTTGCACAAACAAAAGGTTTTATGCAGCATGATCTGTGTTTCTCAGTCCGTTTTGATACATCATTTAAAGTATTGTCATTATGATGTTTCACGATTTTTCGCTGCAACAAAAAATGTTGCCGAAATTCGTTATAGAACGAGCTTCTCGATCGAGAAGAATGAACTTTCTCGACCGATATATTTTCGTTTAGTAATATAGTTTGTTTTAAGAGGACGACCTCTTTTCTGTAACAGATATCCTGGCTTGTGCTGAGTGTTGTTTTTGTGTTCCCTCCAGTTCAGTCGCTGTTTTCTGTTATGGGACTGATCAGTGTTGCGGTATATTCTTTAGAGCACGTGTAAAAATGATGTCATAGCCAATATGAGATTAACCGACATCTTGCAAGTACCAGATAGGATTCGTTACCACTAAAATTGTACTGGATTGTTGTTATAGTGTCCTCTTTCTTCGGCCAGGAATTGTATTAAAGATAATTGATAAAAAGTATCTGAGTGGCCTCTGTCCCTATGTATAAATAGTAAGGACGCCTTTCTAGCCCGCTTGCGAAGAATCGTAGCGATCTTTGAGCTGACCAAATATGCTAGAACTGGAAGGGAATTGCTTCGTCCCTTTTTCGCTGTTGCATCATAGATAGTAGTTACAACGGGAATGGATTGTTATACGACGACATCATAGCACACGCGAAATGCTGATCGCTTCTGTTGTGGTGTAGACTTTAGCTACTTCCCGTGCTAGTTGTTGTTTTGTAGCCGTGATAATACTATCTCGATGTTCTAGATGGTTTTATTTAAACGAGAAATAAGATAAATTTGTGTGCTAATGCCTCATTAACCATCGCTTTGCTGACATACAGATGTACATTTTTGGAAATACACATGAAATGTGTTCTATGGTGACTTTGTTGACATAGTTGGTCTTTTCTGTCCTGATAAACGTCGACGGTTTAAGATTATGCCTCATGGAAACCAGATTTTTACATTTCTATTTCCTTCGCCTTTTTTGCAAAGAGGCCCGGGTCGCCTTCGCAGTGTCGGACAGTATAAGCATTCTCGGGGCAGTATGTCCTGGGGTCCAACGTCATCCCTGAGCTGGGACGTCGGTTTGTCATACCTCATGCTTGTCGAACAGCCCTGCACAAACAAGGTTTCCTGTCAGCTATCTGCGTCTCCGGGCAAGCTCACATGGCTTGCGACTGGGAAGGGAATATAAGTCGCTCCCATGACAGCGACGCTGACTTCGCTAACCCGGCCGGGCCCGGGGGGTAATCCCAACCACCGCAGCCCGGGGGGGGGGCGTTTTTCGCCCCCCCCCCGTCTAACTCCGTAAATATGGGAGCTACGGAAACAAAGGCTATACCAAACGAAATGTCCTTACGAGACGATTGTAAAGCACCTACAATTTTTACCTCAGGTCAATTTTCAAGGTCAGAGGTCAAGGTCAAAGGTCAAAACCGGCACATGTGTAGTGATCTCAAAGTAAGCGTTCTAAACGACGGCAGGATGCATAAAACCGGCAAAATTGGGTGTCAAACGAAAGAAGGGAATCTGAGGATTCCGAAAATGTGCTCAAAATCAAAGGCCAAGGTCAAGGTCATGCTTAAAATTGACCTCAAACTTTGAACGTTTTCGTAAATCTTGCGTGCTAACTTCCGAGATGTTTTGAAATGTTTTGAGGCTTATCAGGTCCCTATTTGTGGTTCATCTTACGATACAAGGGTGCTCAAAGGTCGAGGTCACAGAGTAGTATCCTTGCTAGAGGCTATTTCACTGATTCAAGTTGGTAATAATAAATAAGACAATTTTGCCCTCCAGAGGCTCTAAATGAAGGCTTAGAGGAAAATAGATGCCAGCTTCGTGATCAGCGGGTACGAATCCATCATAAACGACCTTTCATGTGTCAAGGTCAACCAAAGGTCATTCGAGGTCACATGAGGTCAACATAAAACTTTACCTTTTCCAAACAAAATATACATCATTCGACGCGGCTTGACAAGGCGAATGCGATGGTACCACTGCAGTAGCTCTAGGACCATTTTTGTCGAATTTATTTGCGAAAAACTAAAACCACAGCTCTGGGTCGTTGACCTGACCTGTGACCTCAGGTCACCGAAACTATTTTTCTATTTTCGCTAGGTCAAACGCTACACAACCGTGCTCGTAATTTGTCTTTATCTCTAAAACTCTATTTTTGGCAGCTATTTGAAGTTCGCGTCTGTGACGCCGAAGTTTGCCATGCAGGGGTCTAGAAAAATCGACCCTGTGACGTCATCAATGGGACTAGGTCCAAATTTTTTACTTCAGAAGATGTCAAATTGATGGGAGAAAGGGTACTGAAAGTTTCGTTTTCCTATCCCGAAGCGTTCGGGAGCTATCGCAAATATTCGCCAGGGGGGGGGGGCGAAAAACGCCCCCCCCCCGGGCCCGCGAGGGCTAACGCATCAATCACCCGCCACTAAACCGGATCCTGATAGGACATTATTTCCCATTCCTACATTACTGACGTTCATTCTCTATTCGTGGAACTTATAAGCTATACATTAGCGTCTCGTCCCGTCTCCATCGCTGCCGTCCCAACGCTAATCTTTCTGCTGTGATGGGTAACGCAGAAACCTGCTAATGTATGGAGGAAGTCACACAGGTTCATGAGTTGTAGGTAGGTATGTCTGTCCTCACGAGACACGGGGGATGAAACGATTATATTGTAACAAATGTTCATACTGTCATGAGAACCTGTCCTTAGTCACGATACAGGGGCTTAGCGAGGAAAGGCTCCGTTGTGATTTTGCTAAAAAAAAAAATTCGGCTGTATATTGTCCGTGTTTTCAACGTACTTACACTGTGTAGCTGAATTTCTTTTAATTTGTTAATATCTATTAGTTATTACCTATACCTAGTCAGTAGTCACCATGTGGGTATCATGAGCCTGGCAATTGCTAATGGATGTGAGACGAAGCTGATGCAATCGACGATTATCAAAAAACTCAGTAGTTGACATTGGTGCCGTCAGGTAAGCATGTTCCCTTTTTAGTCGTAAGTCGTAACATTTATATTCAAGACAAATACATTAGCAGATCCAGCCGGGAGCAAAAGGTTTACATCACATTTGATGCTCTATATGCATTTCTTTCCATGCATTGCCTCACGCCTTATGATAAACATTTAAAGGAAATAGTTCACTTTCACGAAATTATTTTTTTTGCAATGGATTTATGATTTTTTATGTTCAAAATGATCAGCAAAGAAAATAAAACCTATTTATAACAAAAGATTATTTTCTATATTTTGATAATAAGAAGAACTTTTCAGTTTCTGTAAGGCACAGGCGATCCAGTATGAAAAGAGCATGGGTTCCGAAAATTCTTCAGAAACTAGAGAAATGATCGCGGCCACCGGCATTTGGGCGATCTGCTGCTGCTGAATGTCCTTATTGATCAGTACGAGAATTTCTCTACAGTTCTCGTAGATAATTTCTCTAGTTTCTGAAGAATTTTCGGTACCCATGCTCTTTTCATACTGGATGCGAATATATGCAAGGCACACATCCTCAACGCAAGACACCTTTTTCGGGACGAGAAATAGAATATCTTTGCCTAGGGTGATCGTTGGGCTGTAAAAGCTCCTGATTTATGCTCGTCTCAGCCCAGGCTACGGAACTGCTATTCCAGTTCAAAACCCATGTTAAAAAGTGAACTATTTCCTTTAATGTGCCGTGACTGGGCGGGCAGAGCTCTCTCTCTCTCTCTCTCTCTCTCTCTCTCTCTCTCTCTCTCTCTCTCTCTCTCTCTCTCTCTCTCTCTCTCTCTCTCTCTCTCTCTCTCTCTCTCTCTCTCTCTCTCTCTCTCTCTCTCTCTCTCTCTCTCCCACCCTTCCCTTCCTGAACCGCTCCTCTCTCTTTTCCGCTAACCCCTCTACCCTCTTTCTGACGGACCTCTATCTCCATCGACGGCATCTCGCCAGCTCACTGACGTCATAGCCACCGACGATGTCTCCAACGTCGCCACCGACGATGTATCTAACATCGGCACCGACGTCTTATTCGACACACCGGCGGAGACGAGAGGGGACCGGCACGTCCGACGGGTGGGCTTGGAGCGCTCCTCGGTGAACGACACACCAGCCAGGAGCCTGCGCATTCAGGTATTACATTGTCTAGCAGTAGGTAATGTGTGCTCATTGTCTAATGTGTTTCTGTAGTTCCGTTTTCTGTGTTCTGTAGGTAATGTACTCGTATGTTCGTGTTTTTTGGTGATTTTGGTCACTCTCTAGGCTATTGAGGTTTCTTGAAAGGTACGAGTATTTGACCGTTAAAAGGTGATATAAAATAGTATTTCTGCGCTAAGGCACAAGAATGCCTTTATTTTTACCACCGTATTTTCTAAAGGGCGATCAATAAAAGTATTAATCTCGAAGTCGGGGACCGTGAGGCTTGAGGAATGCCTGCAAATGCAGCTATGGGATGGGAAGTATCTATCAAACAGGAAAATGACGTCTTATGTGGCACCAGTATTTCCCCAGGGAGAAGACTTGTGTTATTTCCCAAAGGATGGTAGCCGAGGATAATAACACGTTTCATCAGCGTTTACCCTGAGGTCGTTATATCGGGGAAATTGCCCGCTAGGCGCTATTGCCCGCTACCCAATTCCTGAGGCCATTTATTAGTTATCGCAGCTATGGATAACTGGATCATGACCGGTGTCCTATCCTTTATTTTATTGGGAAGAAGTACAACATGCTGTATTATATGAGATACGTTTCATATCATGGGAAGATATGCACGGAGAAGTGCAACCGTAAGGATCTCGGTACACAGTGAAGCATTTACGAATAAGCAGGCATAGCTAATAACTGTGCTAATTAACTATACATTTAACGCCATTAACTCCCGTGAGCTACATGCGCCTGACCGCTTCTTCTCGAGTGACCATCATATGCAATTGTGAACGTTTTTAGTGAAGCAGCGACGCACCATGAAGATGCATGGCTACTATCTGGCTTACAAATCGCAGGCCCCTTTATCCTTAGATTTAATGACTGATCAGGTATTTCATCAAACGCTTCCGCGATGCGGCCTCAAAGATGCATAGTTTATGACCGTAGCCGCACGGGGCAGTTATCCACGCCTCATCTCCCAAATGCGCACCGGATGATAGTTATTTTCTGTTGAATACCGTTTACCGATGTATTTAAATTTCAATATTGTTTGGGAAAGCAACGTAAGCCTATTTTATCCCAGCAAGCTGTAAACTGCGTCATCGGGGTGCCACGAGCGACGACAGCACTTTATATGCGACGAAGACCAAACGATGTACCTAGGTAAATGTTATTCGCATGCGACCTAAGCCTGGGCTTGTGCTCGTGCGAGACTAATCCCTACTATTGTTAGCTCGTGGCTACCCCCGGACGCCCCCTGACTCACCCTCCTCCCTCCCCCCCCCCCCCCAACACGAGTACCATTAGCGTCAGGCAGAGGCTAACCCCTTCTGTGCGTCAAACACTGGTTAGCACTGCAGTGCACGATCTCACGTACTAACGAGCTTCCGGTAGCCGCTGACCTAATCGATCCCTGCGTAAAATAAAGCAGTCGTTGCTAAGCAACCACCTGTTATAATACTGGGTTCTCGCAGGAGCAAGGAGTCTCATATTTTTGCTCATTACTGGTGACCGTATAGTAATGACTGAAAGTTTAGTATTTCGTTTTTTTAACCATCCGTCTAAGGGGTCTTCGGAAACTCGAGGCAATGTGCAGGTTTGGAAACCGTGTTAGTACCTACCTAACTTTCTTTAGCCAGACTGCGAATCTGGACGGATTGACGGAAAGCAGAAATATCATAAGTGAGCCTTTTTCGTACCTGTTATCTGCCCACCAAGTACCAACCTAGTCTGCCGATAAG